GACGCGGAAATTTCATGCAAAATGATGAGAAGGCCCAGGTTCTTAGTTCACAGCCTTTGGTAAAGTCTTCCTGATTCGAGTTTTGAACTGTTGATCAGTCAATCTCCCATTACCTTCGTCTTCGTGTTCCTTCCTCATTGCCCACACTAACTTCAAGCTCTTCAGGTACTCTCTTTGCTGCACTCCTTTTTGTTCTTTTCTCCTGCGTCATTTTAACTACTCAGTCAGTACCGAGTTCAAGCACCCTGCTTCACTCCACGTAGGAACTCCCAGCAAAAGCCCTTTTATTTTCATCTCTTCATGCTGATTTTATACTAATTTTTATTCAGTTCTCAATCAGCTTTTGATACCCCAATGACTGAGCCTTCTGATGAGGCTGCTTTCATCGAGAGACTCTATGAATACGGCGAGCAACTCAATAATGCCAAAGACAAGTCTCAGGTCCTCCATTTTTGTTTTAACGCGCTTGAATTCAATCATTTAGCGATTGTTTTTATTTGCTCTAGGGTTTTAGTTCGTAAATGGAGTTTTTAGTTGTGTGTGTGTGTTGTGTTTTTTTTTTTTTTTTGGATTTCATGTGTAGTGGGATTTTACAGAATGTGAAGGACTACCAGGGAATTATTGATGCAGCCAAGACTAGTAATAAGGCGAAGCAGCTGGCTGCTCAACTCATTCCCAGGTTCTTCAAGTTCTTCCCTGACCTTTCTGGTCCTGCCCTTTATGCCCATCTTGATTTGGTTGAGGAAGAAGAGCTTGGGGTAAGTACGCTATTCGCACGAAACACAAGCATATGTTATAGTAATTTATAGCTTCCTACTTGGCAGTGAAGAAGCGTTATACTGAAGAAAGAAATCAAGTTACCCTTTGGTAAAAACAGCTTCTTTTAGTAGTTTTTGTTATGCCATGACATCATTACTTTCATACCACTTACTAAATATAAATTCAGTGCCTTGTCTCTCTTTGAATAATTGAAGCAAGACAATGTATATGTGTAGGCTTTGTTATGACAGGTTGAAAATAAAATGATTGTTTAAGAGTATTGCATTAACCATTTTCTTCGCCCTGTGGATCATTGGTCAATTCAGTATCTGCTGTTACTTATTTTCTTTCTTTTGTGTGTCTTTTCCTGATATACAGGTCCGGGTGCAAGCATAAGAGGATTACCCCTTTCCTCTGCTCAGATACACCAGATAATATAGGGAAGATGTTGATATTCTTGTGCAAATTCTTGGATCTGGTAATTGATGGTTGATGAAGTTTTTTGTTCATCAGAACTTGATCATCTGCTATGATTCTGATCTTTTTCACTTGGTGCTCTTAGAGGAATTTGTGGAGCGGGATGCTGTACACAAGGCTCTTATGTCTTTACTGAGGCAAGATGTTAAGGTATTTTTATACTCTTCTATGTTAAGCAAGAATACTCTTAATGGAATAATATGGTAGTTAGAATTGAAGCTAATCTTGGACGTATCATTCCAGCTAGGATTTTATGGTTAGGATTACAATAACTTTTCTGACTTGGTTATCATCTCTTGGTTTAAATTCCTGAAGGGCCCTTATCTGAATCCATATTAACACACTATCATAGTAATTTCATAAAAAATCAGCTTGTAGGTTTTCCATAAAGAATCTCTGGAATAAATTTGTACAGATTTTTTACTTGTTTGTTTGCAATACCTTGTTGCTAGATATTTACTTCAAATCATAAACCAGTTATACCTTAATTTTTGGTTAGAAAACTACAGACCAATACAGATGCACATGCATGATTTACACGTGCATAAATAATCAGAAATGTATGTGATAAATATGAGAGCTATTATGAATCAACTTATCAATATGATGGTGAGCTTATGCAACATGTCGTTTCTAAAATTTCTACAAAAATGAATCAAATGCTTAATATATATATATTTTTATTAGCAAAAGTTGCTTCATATTTTTAAAAATTCTGAACATATGTGATTACACTGGCATCTTTAGCTGTCTTATGGAATAGATGGTCATGCAGCTTCCTTGACAACCTTGTTCAAGCACATTGGGAGCGTTGAAGAGCTAAGTACAGATGATGTTATTCGTGAAAAAGTTATAAACTTTGTTAGAGATAAGGTGAAAAGCCAAATGATGATTCTAGTGGACCCTTTTTCATTTCATCTTTTGAGTAGAAAGGAATACTAATTATCATTATTTCAGGTTTTTCCTATTAAATCCGAACTGTTGAAGCCCCAGGAGGAAATGGAAAGACACATAACTGATCTGATAAAAAAGGTATCAGTATTTGGCTAACTGAATAGTATTATCAGTATAATTTTGTGTTTAAAATATATCATATCAAATTAAAAATAAGTCACTTCTATTTGGAAACCATGGTCAATATAACTTATGTTAGATTTTGTGCAAAACATGGGGCCCACAGTCTAATTAGTATTTATTTATTTTTTAATATTATAGAAAGTTCATTATTGTTGTTGAATCCCATTGTAGAGTTTAGAAGATGTATCTGGCACAGAATTTCGAATGTTTATGGATTTCTTGAAGAGTTTGAGCCTGTTTGGAGAAAAAGCTCCACCTGAGCGAATGAAAGAACTGATTGGAATTGTTGAGGGGCAAGCTGATTTAGATGCACAATTCAATGTAAGTGTCCCCTTTTGTTAAACAAGCTCATTTATATGTAAAATAAGTTTCTGGGGAGTTATTTATATTTTAGGGGTTTAATCATTGCAAAAAGTAAAATGGGTTTAGCATTTTGATTTACACTGTTGAGAGTCTCTTTTGTGATGATTATTTTAGATTTTCTCATCACAATGCTGCTTTTTGAAATACTAGTCTGACTTACATTGGTTTTGGTAATGATGACTGCATTTTTCTCTTTGTTGTTGAGTAAATTTATTTTTCCATCAGGTCTCATTTCTCTTCTTTCCTCTCTCTTTCTCTAATCCTTAAAAATGTCATCGGGAAACTATCCTAATCTTGCATCAAGTAGGCAGTAATTTTTACTTGTTAGGCTTCATGCTGAAAGTGTGAAGGATGTGGAATTGGGCATGTGCATGGGATTCAATTATGAAAGTAAGATAAATTTGTCTTCATTTTGGAAATATAATGATAGCACATAGAAGTTCACCCTATGCAACTATTATGTTTTTGTCTCATTCTTATGTTTCCTTAATGAACAATTGCAGGCTTCAGATGCTGATCATATTGACAGATTGATATCATGCCTTCACATGGCACTTCCATTTGTTGTGGTAAGGAGTGTTTAATTTTCATCTTACCTATTTGGTTTCCCCTTGAGTTTTCTGAAAACGGCTGAAATTCTCAGAGGGGTGCATCTAGCAGCAAATTTCTTACCTATGTAAACAAGTTCATCATTCCTGTTTTTGACCAGGTAATACCTTTGAACTTTTAGTTTCAAAGAACAAACATGATATTCAATGTATTGTTTCTGGGACCAATATATATGAGGAGGGGGATTGACACCGATGCAAGAATTGAAATACATGTACCCTTGAATATATTATTGTAGGAAGTGATTTGCATTGATCTGACCATGGAATTAGAGGCAATTGTAATGTTGACATTGATTATCAATCTTAGAAAAAGCATATTGCTGAGAAAAAGAAAAGAAAAAATAGATAACCTAAATGTGTAATTAGATAGGTTCCATAGGACAAGACAAATCAATAAAATCTACTAATTATGGAGATATTACAGCCTTTTGCATGATAAATTTAATATAATCTAATATTTCAATAACATTGGAATGCTAATCTTGACACTAGTTATGTGGAGGTTGGTAGTTGACAACTGTTATCAGAACTGGTCCAATTGGTTTTCGATTACACCTAAAAACCGCTTTTCTTGCAAACCGCTCGTGAACTGGTTGAACCAGCCATGTTTCTTTTTTATTTTTTTTATTTTTTAATTCATATTTCTAAAATATAATTTATGCATATTTATACCCAATAAGCATGATGAAATGAAAAAATGCAAGAAATATGTATGAATTATGTATATATGTATATATTTTAAAGTTATAAATTATAAATTATGAATAATTATATATATTTTGGATTAAAATGATGTTATAAATTACAAATTATCTTGTTTGAAATTACATATTCATTTTTTTTACTATATATGATTATTTCTTTCTACTTTAAATATATAATATTTAAAATATATCAATTTATTTATGTCCTTTTGGACCCCGGTTTAGATCACTGTTCGACTATTGAACCGTGAATCGGTACCTCAACTGGTTCAATGACTGGTCTTGTTTTCATAACATTGGTTGACATATGTGTGGTTTCACTAAAGCTCTGACCTTTCTGTATTCAGTAACATGCTTTATTCCTGCAATATACTTTAGCGATAGAGAATCCTGTTTCTTTTGCTATTGTTTTTTTTTCTTTAATTAATTTTTTTTTTGTTTACAATAATGCAATGATATGATATTGGAAAATATGCAAATCCTTATTTGTTGCATAATACTTGACTTGGCCACTATGTTAGATTAAAATTTGTATTTGTAATCTGATGTGTAAATTGTAATTAATAGAAGAGGGTAGTTATTAGTCAGTAACTGTTAGTGGTACAGGGAGTTAGTAAGTCAGCGACTATATAAAGTGGGGGAGTTTGTAAATCAAGAATTATGTTTTTGGAGTAATCTCAGAAGTATTATTCCAGTTTCTATTCTCTCTCATCTCTTCTCCCCCCATCCTTCTCTCCCTATTCTTTCTACCACTATCTAACATAATCACTTAAAGTTTCTGGGGGCTTGTGTTTAGTCAAATATGGGCGATACAAAATTTCAATGCATAGAACCGGTGCTTTTTGATCAGACATTTTAAAGGACATTTCCCTCCTAAAAAGAATTGGCCCCCCACACCCCCAAGGGGGCAGGGCTTTTGCTTTCTTTGGACCTTACATCAAAAGAAAAGGGCAGGTGCTTGATTTTCTGAGCTTGTTTATTTAATCTCCCTTGTTAGGGTGTACAAAGGTCTTATTTCTTTCATTTGCGCTTCTTTTGTACAAAATTGGAGTTATATTTTGATACTATTGATATAATAATATCTTGTATTCAGGGAATGGGAACAAAGGCAATTTAGAAAACAAATATTCTGATTTTGATACGTGACTTATAACACTGAGATTCTGTGTTTTTAATTATTACATTCAAGACCTTCAACAAAATTCTAGCTGCCTGTTGGTTTAATATATGAAATAATGCATGGCATAATTTTCTCCTTGTAGGTTAACAAATCTTTTATTTTCTACTTATTCCATGAACCTTTTGATTGTTAACTTTCTTTAAACTAAATGTACTGTTTACCAACCTTGATGCAACTCTGCTCATCTTTATGCTATAGTGATTGTCAAATTGATAGGAATTGTAAGCGTCTTGAATTTTTTTTTTTTTTATATGGAGGAAGAACAGTTCAGAAAACTTAATCCCTTCTGAACTTACTCTGTCTTCATGTTATTTTATTTCTAAAGAGTGGTCAGCTTTGTGAATTTTAGTTGCTTGCGTTATTCTGGTAAAAATTATAATAAGAAAATATATTTTGATATTTCAACTAGGCAGCTTACCAAATGTTATAGTAGTTTGGGGTTAGTTGAAGCTGGTTCCTAATTAGTAGTGACACCTGAGTGGAGTTTGTTTGTGGAAATCTTTCAACTGAGATTTTTATTTCCATATGGGGAGACTTACATAATGATTTTCCCCCCTCTCTTTTCAGCTTCCTGAAGAACGAAAAGTAGATCTACTTAAAGACCTTGCAGAATTTTCACCTTACACTACACCACAAGATTCACGCCAAATTCTTCCTTCTATTGTTCAGTTGCTAAAAGTATGTTGAAAATGCAATATCAATAAATAGTTTATATGAATAATCAATAATGTACTACATCTTAACCATGTTTCCTGCTAAAATTAATATTATGTTTTCTGGTTTATGTTCTGCTAAATATCCCAGCACATCTTTGATGTGCTAAAAGAGATGGCTAGCTTAAGTTTCACACAATTTTTGGCAACTTTTATGAGCCATTGTATCATATAAATTTGAGCGTAGAACTTTATCTTTTATAAATTTATATATAAGTTTGATAATTGTCTGTTCTAGCTTATTATTTTCAACATCATAATCATGTATGGTGATTTAACATTGCCTATTTCCTTGATCTCTTCATCTTCTAAAATCGTTTTTCATTCATTCTGTCAGAAATACATGTCTTGGAGGAAGACTGGAGAAGAGATGAACTTCACTTATGTTGAGTGCTTGTTATACACATTTCATCATCTAGCTCACAAGGTAATTGTATCTGGTAGGTGCTCACGATAGTAAAATAGAATAAGAGAAATAAATCTATTAGGAGGGTATGAAACAAGAATCTCGTTCTATACTCCTCTTAATAGCCACGCTTAGGAGAATTTCCAAAGGGTTTGAAAGACTGTTTCATTAATTCTGATATGCTAGCTTCTAAGTTGCTAGTCATATTTATAAAGCTAAATACAATAAAATATTAAATAAAATCTAGATAACTAGATAACTAGATAGATTCTCCTAAAATCCAAATACTAAAAAATCCAAATATCTAAAATGCTGAATCAAATCTAAACAACTAAATAAAATCTAGGGAAATCTAAATAAAAACTAAATAGAGGAAAATACCAAATAAAATACTAAATAAAAGATTGAATCAAATAATCTATCTTAATTATCTTAATTTATCCTATTTTATCTTTTGATGCTTCTTTCTTGAATAAGTCTTTATGGGCACGTTATCTGAAATCTTATCATTACCCCGCCCTTGAAAACTCAACTTGTCCTCAAGTTGAAAAGAGGGGAATTGAACATGCAGGAGGTCGTAGTCCTCCCAACTTGCTTCCTCCATAGGTCGCCCATGCCATTCCACTAATAGCTCCAGCGAATGATGACATGTCCAACGATGATCTAAGACTTGATGGGGCCTCACATGTAACTCAAAATCAGCTGATAGTGGTAAAGAAGCTGGTGTAGTTGGCGCCTCCATCCCATATGCTGGGCGTAAGAGAGATACATGAAAAATAGGATGAATACGAGCATCCGCAGGATGTTCCAACTCATAGGCCACCTTTCCAATCCTTCGAATAATCTTGTAAGGACCAAAAAAGCGAGGTGATAATTTTTCAAACTTCTTCTTGGTCAGTGATTGTTGGCGAAAAGGCTGTACTCGTAGCCACACTACATCACCCATGGCATACTCAACTTCTCTCCGACGTTTGTCAGCATAAGCCTTTATCCGGTCCTGAACCTTGCGTAAATCGTCCTTCAAGAGTTTGAGCATTGCATCTCTAGTTTCTAGTTGATCTTCCAATTCAGCGATAGTGGTTTCACCCCTGACATAAGGACATAAGGGCGGAGGATCTCTTCCATATACTAGCTTAAAAGGAGACTGTTTGGTTGATGTATGATGACCTGTGTTATAGGAATATTCAGCCCAGCAAAGAAACTTGTGCCATGACTTAGGTTGCTCATGTGCAAAACATCGGAGATAGGCTTCAAGACAGCGGTTGACTACCTCTGTCTGACCATCAGTTTGGGGATGGTAGGCAATACTCATTTTTAATTTGGTCTAGCTTAATCTGAATAATTCTTGCCAAAAAGAGCTCATGAAGATAGGGCCCCTATCAGATACTATTGAGCGAGGCACCCCATGTAACCTGACAATTTCCTCACAAAAGATGGTGGCCACTTTTTTGGCGGTATATGGATGCGCAAGAGCAAGGAAATGGGCATACTTACTCAAACGATCAACTACTACCAAGATGACCTCAAAACCTCCTGACTTAGGGAGACTAGTGATAAAATCCAGTGAGATATCCTCCCAAATTTGAGAGGGTACAGGTAAGGGTTGCAAAAGTCCTGCTGGTGCCAAAGTTTGATACTTATTTTGCTGACAAGTGGCACAATGCCTCACATATGTCTTTACATCGGCCTTCATAGTAGGCCAATAAAAGTTCTCTGATAGTCGCTTGAATGTTTTAAGAAAACCACCGTGTCCCCTAACTGCAGTCGAGTGGGCTTTTGCTAGTAACTTCGGTCGTAGTTGGGATGAGTAGGGAATGACTACTTTGTGGTCATAAAAGAGTTTTTGATCAACCAAGTGAAATCTAGGTCGAGACGACGGATCTTTCTGTCTGTCCTGCATATTTCCTTAATGAAGGGATCTAAGGCTAATTCAGAGGTGAGGTCATGAAGCTCTGTAGCGAAAGGGACTGCCAACTGAAAAAAATCTGCATGCTGGGGTCGCCGTGATAATGCATCAGCTCCCTTATTTTCTGCTCCTGCCTTGTGTATACTAGTAAAATTAAATGGTAAAAGCTTGATGATTAGCCTTTGTTGGGTGTTGGTGGTGACGCGTTGTTGTAGCAAATATTGCAGACTAGCATGATCTGTTCTAACAAAAAAATGCCTCCCGAGGAGGTAATGGCACCATTTTTGTATTGCAAGAACTAACGCTAGGAGTTCTCGATCGTAAGTGGATTTGAAGTGATTAGAGAATGAAAATCCTTTATTGAAGTAAGCAATGGGATGGTTGTTTTGTAGGAGTATAGCTCCAATACCTTCTGTGGACGCATCGCATTCAACTACAAATTCCTCCTCAAAGTTCAGTAACTGTAAGACTGATGCCGTCATCAATGCAAGTTTAAGGCGGTTAAAAGCCTGCTGAGCTAGTTCAGACCATAAGAAGGCATCTTTCTTAGTCAACTCAGTGAGTGGTCGTGCAATAATCCCAAAATCCTTCACAAAACGTCTGTAATATCCTGCAAGGCCTAGGAATCCACGTAACTCCTTTACATTCTTCGGGACAGGCCATTCTCGTACTGCCTCTACTTTCCCAGCCTCAACTTCAACCCCTTAGGTAGAAATGTTGTGTCCTAAAAAGGGAACTTTCGGCTGACCAATGAAGCATTTTTTTAAATTTACATAGAATACATTTTCTTGTAAAGTCTGGAATAGGGTGTGTAGATACTCTTGGTGTTGTTGAAGAGATGAACTGTAGGTCAAGATGTCATCAAAAAAGACAAGTACAAATTTTCGTAAATAAGGACGAAATAAATCGTTCATGATTGCTTGAAAGGTGGCTGGTGCATTAGTTAAGCCGAAAGGCATGACTGTGAACTCATAGTGCCTGGAGTGAGTTCGAAACGCTGTTTTGTAAATATCATCAGTTGACATCCGAATTTGGTGGTATCTCGATCGTAGATCCAGTTTGGAGAAATAAGTTGCCCCGTGTAACTCATCTAATAACTCATCAATGTTGGGGATTGGGTACTTGTCTGGAATGGTGATACTATTCAATTTTCGATAATCTACACAGAAGCGCCATGACTCGTCTTTCTTTGCAACTAGTAAGACTGGGCTGGCAAATGGACTGGAACTGGGTCGAATAAATCCCTTTTGTAGTAATTCTTCGACTTGTTTCTCAATCTCAGTTTTTTGATAATGAGGATATCGATAGGGTCGTAAATTGGGTGGGTTGGCTCCTGGTTATAGGGTAATGGTATGGGAGTGATTTCGGAAGGGTGGCAAATTTATGGGTTCTTCAAAGACGGCAGGAAATGTGGAAAATAAAGGTTCTGGGTTGAAATATTGGGAAGGTTTAGGGTCAGCGGAAGCTTGCATTGAATTAAATTGAGCACCTTTAGCAGCATTAGGAACTCCTTGTAACTTATACCGCTTTCCATTCATCCAGAAAATCATGAAGAGTTGATTCCAATTGGCTTGCACTGTATTGAGAGATGCTAGCCACTTAATACCGAGAACTAGATCAGCACCCCCTAGAGTGAAAGGGAAAAAATCTTCTTTAATTGTTAACCCCGTCAATTCTACTTCAATATTTTTGCAAACTCGGTTGCATCGCACAATACTACTATCGCCTATTTGGACCCCAAAAGTAGAAATAGCTTGGGTAGGTAGATGAAGCTCCTGAACCAATGCATCAGAAATAAAATTATGGGTGGATCCACTATCCACCAATAATAACACCTGTCTAGAGCCTAATCTGCCACTTAATTTCATTGCTGAGCCAGAATTATTTCCCAGGATGGCATTTAGTGAAATTTCGGCTCCCTCAGGTTCTGTTTCTTCAAGCGCGACGTCATCAAGGGGAGGAAAAATCTCCTCACCTTCCTCAGTGATCTCCATTAGAGAGAAGGAACCCCTACATCGCTGCCCAAGCCGGAACTGCTCCCCATAGTGGAAGCACAGTCCTTTATCTCTCCTTCTCTGATGTTCGATCTTGCCTGGAGGAAGCTTAGAAGGATGCGTATTTGCTGGAGTGAGGGAGGCTGAGGGTGACACAGTATGCGTTGGGGTCCTGTACGCGTTCGGGCTCGTGTTCGCCGGTGAGAATCCAGCTAACCTCCTTGGTGGTTGATTCGAGTCACGTGCGGTGGCTGAGGACCCATAATAAGGTCGAGTCGGGTTTTGACCCAGATTCAGTTTAGGTCTGTTCGAAGTCATCTTCCCTTCGAATTCCAGAGCGAGGCTGAGCGCACGATATACACTCCTGGGCTTGTGAATTCGAACGTCTGATCGGAGCTCCTCCTTTAGCCCACTGAGAAACACGCCGAGAAGGCAGTGTTCAGGCCAGTTTTTTACTCTGGCGACGTGCCTTGCAAATTCCTGTCGATATTCTTGTACAGAGCCGTCTTGCTTGATTCTGCACAAATATTCGTCCAGGTTCTGGTATTCAGGTGGTCCGTGGTTCTCCTGTAGCGCCTTCACTAACTCATCCCAATATAGTAAGGTGCATTCTGAATTTAACCAAGAGAACAAATCCAAAGCATCTCCTTCTAATGACATAGATGCTATATCCACCGTTGATTCTTCTGGGGTATGATAATACTGAAAATATTTTTCAGCTTTAAGAATCCATCCCCGAGGATCACCCCCGCTGAATTTGGGAAAATCAATTTTGGGTTGAGGCGGACGTGACCCCCTCTTGTAATAATCGAATTCTTCTTCACTTTCCTCATCCCAGTTACGGCGTCTGTGTCGACTTTCTGGAGTCCTTCTACTTCTTTGTGTTGCTGATGCTTCTAAGGCTTCTATCTTTTCTTGTAATATGTTGAGTTTCTCTAATTTAGAGGAGATAAGAGCCAGATCGTGTGCAAGCAAGTTAGGATTTTCTGAGGCGATGTTGGATGGGTTATCGGTAGGGTTGGTCTCTTGACCAGCACGTGTAGTGACCATGGCTCTGATGCCAAATTGGTAGGTGCTCACGATAGTAAAATAGAATAAGAGAAATAAATCTATTAGGAGGGTATGAAACAAGAATCTCGTTCTATACTCCTCTTAATAGCCACGCTTAGGAGAATCTCCAAAGGGTTTGAAAGACTGTTTCATTAATTCTGATATGCTAGCTTCTAAGTTGCTAGTCATATTTATAAAGCTAAATACAATAAAATATTAAATAAAATCTAGATAACTAGATAACTAGATAGATTCTCCTCAAATCCAAAATACTAAAAAATCCAAATATCTAAAATGCTGAATCAAATCTAAACAATTAAATAAAATCTAGGGAAATCTAAATAAAAACTAAATAGAGGAAAATACCAAATAAAATACTAAATAAAAGACTGAATCAAATAATCTATCTTAATTATCTTAATTTATCCTATTTTATCTTTTGATGCTTCTTTCTTGAATAAGTCTTTATGGGCACGTTATTTGAAATCTTATCAGTATCAGCCTTGCAGAAATATTACACCGTTGAGTAAGTTACTGCTGAGGTATTGTTAATTGATTTCAGCTATTATGTAGGTTCCTAATGCCACAAATAGTTTATGTGGTTACAAGATTGTTACTGGCCAGCCATCTGATAGGCTTGGAGATGACTTTTCAGAGCATTATCGGGATTTTACTGAGAGGTATTATCTTTCTTCTAAAAACTGTACATAATACATAACCAACCTATCTTTTAATTTTGCATTATGAAAACGATTCATTCTTTTTACTCGTGAAAGTGTAGATTTCTTGGTTAACATTATTCTTTTAGGGGAAATTGTTGTCAGTTTATGGAGCTAAGCAGAGTTAAAAACTTTTAGTTAATTAGTTGGGTTGTGAAGAGGGTGAGAGCTGGTAAATGATTCATACTTCAATGCAGCTTCATATATTAGCTTCTTCCTTGGGAGAATTACCAATTTGGTCCCACTCTAAACTAGTATCTTTGGAGCAGAGTGATTGAACTGAAATTCTATTTGAAAGGTTCAACTATGATTGTCTTAAACTGAGTAACTGGAACAACAATAAGCCTTATCCTACTAACTGAGGCTGCCCAAAAAATCCAAATCAAACCCCCAACCACTAGAGCATGGCAAGAACCCAAAAAAAAAACAAAAAGAAAAAGAAAAACTGGACTACGGAAAATTAGGCTATCTTTTGGTAATGTTCGGTTGATACTCAATATTGATGCAACACACACACACACTGCCACAGATTCAAACTGAGGAAGAGTAGAGAGAAAAACAGAAATAGAGAAGGGAGAATTGTAGAAAAGAGGAACGAAGAATAGAGTAGCCAAGGGGGGTGGAGAAAGAGACAGAACGAAGGGACTGGAGGAGAAACTTTCAGAACATCAATGCGAAAAATTTCATTCATCAAATCCGATTCAAAGTACATGAAAGCAACCTATTTATAAGCTCAAGGCTAAGAAGCACCGATACAGGTACGAGTATCGGGTACGATACGATACGATACGCGGACACGGCTATTTTCCAGAATTTTAGGATACGGGTACGGCTATATAAATAATTAAATATTAAATATTTGGATGTCTAAAAACACAATTTCAAGATGTCTAATGCCATAACAAAATATAATACAATAAATAGTCAAGCACTTAAACACTATCAAGTGTCAAAAGATAATTATCAACTTAAAGTAATTCTAATCTTCCTCATCTTCATTGACGCCACCACTTTCTCCTATAAGTTCTCTCTCCAAAATTGGCTCATCTAGAGATAAACTTGCAACTTCAAGATTTTCAACATCATCTATTTCCCAACAATCTCCACTAATATCCCACAATTTACTTTCTCCAGTAGAATACTTCTCACTCTTTCTTGAAAGAAGACGAAGATTTGAATGAACAAAAACTAAGTTCTCTGCTCTTTTTGGAAGCATCTTATTTCTCTTTAGTGAATGAACAAAAGAGTAAGTGCTCCAATTTCTTTCACAACAAGATGATGAGCATGGTTGATTGAGAAGTTTCAATGCAGTCCCTTGAAGTTTAGGAGCATCAGCACCATGATTGCTCCACCAAGCCTTAGGCTCTAATACCCATCTATCTTGTATGGAATCAACAAAAGAGAACTCATCTGAACAGCCAGAAAATTTTGAAAATTCATTCATAACCAATTTCCTCTCTTCTTCATCTGGAAACATCCTTCTAATGCACTTTTTCCTCTCAGTTGATATTTCAGCATCTCTATGTGGAGAGACTCTATTTAGTCCACCTTCAAGCCATTGTGTTGTATAATACCTACAAGAATATAATAACATTAATTGGAGTTGTGATGTAAAAATGATAAAGAAAAGAATTTCATGATCAAAAATAAGAATAACACACCTAGGATTCAGTGAGTGGGCAAGACAATGTAGTGTAGTGGCACTCTTTGTCCATCGATCAATGATGATGTTATAAACAACTTCATAAAATGAAGAGTACTCAGAAAGTGATTTTCTCTCATGCTTATAAATTGATTCCTTGATTTGCTCTATCATTGAATCCCACATCTCATAAATCAAATGAAGTGTGGGTCTATCTGTGTCAGCAAATCTCAACATATCATAAATTGGTTTAGTGAAAGAGAGAATATAATCAACCTTCTCCCACCAAAGATCATTAAGAATTATGTCCTTCACAGTAGCAGCCTTTCCAACATCATCATCTCTATAAGCATTCCATTCTTCACTAATAATCAGTGTACGAAGAGAAGTTTTGATAAGTTTGAATCTCTTCAACATCACAATTGTTGATGCAAATCTTGTTTCGGCTATTGCAAGCAATTTTAATGGCACGAATTCATTAAACATGGCCAATCTCATAGAATGATTCATGATAAATGTTCGGATAAAGACTGCATCATCCCTCACCTCAGTGATCCAACAGCATTCTCCATAAACAATTTCATTTGCCTCTGTATTTTTTGCTGCACATATATTCTTCAAGGCAAGATTAAGTGTATGCACCACACATGGTGTCCAAAAGATGTGAGGATATTCATCTTCCACCATCTTACCAGCAGATTTACAAACAGGTGCATTATCAGTAATTACTTGAACAACTTTATGAGGCCCCACTTCTTCAACCACTTTCTTTATCAAGTCAGCCATGTAAAATCTATCTTTATACTCACTAGTTGCATCAATTGCCTTCAAAAACATGGGACTTCCATCACTTACAGCCATAAAATTAATTAATGGCCTTCTTTGTACATCTGTCCAACCATCTGTAACTATACTTACCCCCTTATGATTCCAAGTCCCTTTAATTGATTCAAGTTGCTTTTCAACATTGGCCCTTTTTTTTTGCAACAAAGTAGACCTTAGTGCATTATAACCAGGAGGTTTAAAACCAGGAATTACATTGTTGGCAGCATATTGAAATGCACTAATAAAATATGGGTTACGTGCCAAATTGAAAGACAAACCAGCCGAATAGAACATTCTAGCAATTTCAGCAGTTAAATTATCTCTAGCTCCTTGTTGGAAAGCTCTTTCTATTGTATTTATTGCCCTCCTTTTTCCCTGATTGTGTTCACTTTGAATAGGGGTAGAACCCCTTTGACATAAAGGAGACAAGCTCTCAGTTGGAGTTGGCAATGGCACATGTCTTGGTTTTGTTCTATTCTCAGCCTCCTCTTGAGCTTTTCGCATTTCACCTAAACAACTATCATCAAGTTTCGGGCATATAGCAATACCCTTTCCAGAGATCCTCAACAAATGAAATTTAACTCTAGAATAAGAGCCATTATATTGGTTATTACAATAGTTACACTTCCAACTTCTATTTCCACCATCCCCTTCATTTTCTTGAGGAACCAAAGTTACATAAGCCCATAAAGGAGTACTCTCTTTCTGTCTTTTATTACTAGATTGAAATTGAGAATTCACACTTCCTGAACTACTACCGAGTCTAGAATTAGAAGCCATTGCAGGTTTAATTTTAAACAATATCCTGCAATTTTAACAAAAAGAGAGCTAATAAAAATTTAAAATAAATCAATGTTTAATTCAACAAAATAATCTATCTAAATAAAAAAAAATTAAATTAGTAATTCAGTATTAAATTTGAAAACTAATCAATTGCTCTGGCTCTCTCTCGGTTCAGCATTGAGCAAATTATCCAACAATGCAATAATAAGAAATTCGAAATCAGCAGCCAAATCTGATAGATACATAAAGAACGAGAGGCAGCGCATCGAAGAATGACCATACATGAAGAACTGAACAAATTACCAAGATTGAAGCTGAAGAACGACGGTGAGGCAGAGGCAAAGCAGACGGTCGAAGACGCTGAGGCAGAGCAGACAGTCGAATATGAAGACTGAGGCGGAGCAGACGGCGAGGCAGCGTGAATAAACGTGAGAGATGAAGAACGAGAACGACCAACACAGGCAGTGAAGTTACAGAGCAGAAAACACGAGAAGGGGGTCGATTGGAGCTAAAAATGTTAGGGCATCGGATTTCTGGAGCTGGGACTGAGTTAAAAGAAGTGAAAAACGCAGAGTTTCGCGTCCGCCCGTGTCCGACCCGCGTCCGCCCGTGTCAACCCGCATCTGCCCGCGTCCGCCGGAAACCGGGAAAAGGGACGCGCCGTTCCCCCGTCCTGAACGCGTGTCCGTGTCGGATACGTATCCGACACGGACACGCCAGCCATTTTGGCGTGTCGGTGCTTCTGAGGCTCAAGGTTTCCTTTCCTTTGAGGAAACCTCCTACCCACTTGCTGTTATAATAATAGGAAAAAAAAAAAATCTCACTTGCAGGTTTCCTTCTCACTAAGAAAGCTTACAAAAAAGTATTTGAATGACAAAAGCCACACAAAAGCAACTTATTCTTTCTAGAGTAATATTTTCCATAATTCCTATCAAATATTCTTTTACCTTTCTGTATCCTGGGGTAGCATCAAATTTGCTTGAAGTGTCAGTATCAGTATGGCTTGATTGTAAACTCTTGGGTTGATTAGACTCCATTATTAATATTCAGTTTGGTATGTCTGTTGATCTATATGATTTAGAGGAGTCAACGTATCATTTCCTATAATGTGCCCCTAATCAGCGCATTTTCTCAATTATTTATGCTTGCTGTTTCTATTGTCTGTTTATAGTATTCTGCCGTGTGGTTACTGGATATCTCCCCCCCCCCCGGGGCAGATGAGGTTTCTGTTATTTCTATGCCTTGTCTTTTTTACTAGAGTATTTGTAGGCTTGGAAGTTGTTGACCGAGACTTCTTAGTTAATAACATTAATAAAAGCTTGGTAAATGATATAGCAAAATGGCGTCGTGCAATTTATGTAACCGATCTTATCTAGTGAGATGAGGCTGCTTGTTGTTGTAGTATATGTAGGCTTGGTATAGTAACAGTAACAGCTCTTTTAATAGTGAGGGCTGGGTGAATACCATAGACTTAGAGTTATGTGATTCTATTTGTCTTGGGAAGAAGGCTGGCTGAAATATAATGCTTGTGGATACATTCCACGCAGCTAACTTTTTGATTGAAGTTGTGGGAAGCATGCATGATATTAATATAAATCAATTTGTAACAGTTGTCAAGTCAAGGGATTATACTCAAGTAAAAGGTTGGAATATTTAAAGGCAATTATTTTATTTTAGTATTATTTTTCTCATAAAATATGAAGGGAATGATAGATGAGAACAACATGGAAAACAAGCGGTAAAAAGTAAGTCCTGTGATTGGTCAAAGGTGGCAAAAAAGATAACAGTGCTTGGGTTTTCCTGCTGTGTCTAATCTTGTCTTCCTAGAGTTTGGGTTCCCATCAGATGCTTACTAGATGTCTTACTGGCTACTTCTAGAAGATGCTCACCAGAGTATGTATATGCTCTGGGAGTGAGCTTATTAACATCTTTGGCGGGACAATTCTATATCTTTTGTCTTAGCAATACAGTCTTATAAGAACCACTTTGTCCTCCAATCGCAAGCTTTCCTAGTCATCAAGACATACGGGTCTGATGCAAGAATAGAATTACATGGATTTAGCTACCACATCAAACGAACTTAGCATCATAAGAATCTGATTGCACTCGAAAATTGGCCACTTGTGTTCTTGTTAGCAATGATTCATGCTCGAATACTGATTTTGTCCTTCATCTTGTTACAAACTTGCAATAACTTTGGGAAAGTGAAAATTCTGAATAGTTGCAACTAAGCAATTCTGTTGTTGAATTATTGATTTTGCAAAAATTGTGTGCCTTCTCTACACTCTTACCGTGGGCTTGTGTAACATTCTTTGTTCTGGTCATTTTTTTTCTTAGATTAAATAACATTCAGGAGTTAACCCGGGCTACCGGGAGGAAGTTAAATCAGGTTATGGCTGTGCACAATGAATCAATGGCAGCTGCTAAAACAGATGAAGCAAAGGAAAAAATTGTGAGCCTTATTGTTTGGTAGTTCTGTCTTTACCTTCTCTTATTGTGCACCATGCTTACATTTTTCACACTATGTTGCGGAAAACACAAAAGCAGAACACTACAACTGGGTTGCGCACCTGCAATAACATTTTGGTAATGACAAAGGTAAGATGGATGCAACCTAGCAGGACTTTAAAATATATGCTCAAGCGTAAAGTATTTTATTCGCTGATATTTTATTCTACCTTTTCTTCCTTTCAAATTTACCTGGTTAGCCATTACACTCTAAGGCACCTTCTTTTATTGGAGATGAGAGCATCAACCTTTCTTGGAAAGAAGCAACTAAAACTGCATCTTCTTCAACAGAGGCAGCTGGGTATGATTTTTATTTTTTTTGTAAATATAACATATTATGAGTGACTTTTCTCATCATCTTTTGTACGTGTCTGCTTCCATGACTCTAAACTCTGTTTACTTTCAAAGTCAGATTGACTAAACTTTCGCGCAATTTTAGGTATTTGCTATTAGATTTTTCAATAAAAAAAATGACAAGTAAATATTTTTTGTAGCTTAGAACCACAATTGAATGTTTTGAAAAACTCTACAGTTGTCTTGTGTTTGGTGAAGAACTTGGTTGTCGACACCTCTGAAACTTTATATGATCCAAGTCAGACTTATTAAAGATCTCATATGAATGAGAACAGCAGAAATAACTGAAATTGAGAAATTATGTTATTTTCCATTCATCTTGCAGAGCAAAACGGCCTGCTACTCCCTCTAAGGGATCCAACAATGTTGCATCAAAGAAGGGCCGAGGTGTTGGTGGTGGTGGTTTACAAAATCAACTTGTTAATAGATCACTGCAAGGATTACCCAGTGGTGGGAGAAGTGGTGGTTCACGGGGTAGAGGCAGGGGCTGGGGTGGAAGAAGGAGAGGGAGAGGGAGAGGGAGAGGATATCGGTAAATTTGATTCATTTGCTTGATTGTAGAAAGCATCAGATTTTATTTTACCGATCTGGATAACATAGAGTAGGGGATGTTGATGTCTTGGAATTCTTTTGTCAGAGGAAGTTTTGATTATAAATGATTATGATACGTTTCTATTCGTTGTGGACCAAGTTCACTGTTACACTATCTCCCAGAGTAGAGAAAATTTCAAAGTAGATCTAAGGTCGGATGAATTTTCTCTAGGCTGTCATTATAATTTTTAAGGTTATGTACTCTGTAAGCTCTCACTGACTAATTACGGGAAAGTTACTCCCAAAAACCAGGAAATTTTAGTAAAGAATAGTGGCTTCTAATGTAAAATATAAATAAACAAATGGAAGATTTGATGTAACAAAAAGAACTGTGATCCTAGTGAAAATTCCAACAGGTGTTTTCCACAATCAGTAAGGGCAAAAGGAGATTGTGCAGCTGCTCATGGATGTCATTAAATTCAGGACTGTTCTTTCTGATTTATTTACACCTCCTAATTGGGCATTTCAACAAGAGACTAGTCATTGAAGAAGTCACTAGGAGAGCACAGAAATAAGCGTGCTAGTGAACTTAATTACACAGGTATAAAAAAACTTCTAACTCAAGTACAAACTTGTACATTATCTTGAACTCAACTTTGGGTTTATTCTGTCTCTCAATATTAAAAATTCCTTCCCTCATCACCTTGTCGTTAACTTGCCATTTTTTTCACCATTAGTGAGCCTCAGATTGCTTTTTTTTTTAAAAAAAAAAATTATTATAAAATATTGAGTTAAGGATCATTCTTGCCCCTCAAATTTACCCACAAGGGTTAGTGGGCACCCCAAACTCAAATATTTTATAACGAAAAAAACATTAAAAAATGTAATATAGGGCACACTAATGATGAATAGATGACGAGTTAACGATAGAATAACGAAGAAGGGAATCTTTAATGTTAAAGAATAGAATTGACCCATTGTTGAATTACGAGTGCCTAGTGATCCTTCGAGTAAAGTTGAAGGGAAAAAATAACCCTTAACCCAACAATTAATTTCCTATAATTAGATCATGAACTAGCCAACTAGGACTATAATAGTTAGATATACGTTCTTTCTGGTAAGTCATCTATTATCTGGGTTTCCATTGGTGTCTCTGGCAGTGGTGAAGAGAGCACAATAACTGTTGATACAGGGGATGCAGTATCTTGTTGATGCATAGTTGAATCTGTGGTGCTGACGTAGTCCCATCTGGAAGAGCAGTTAGTTAAATCTTGTTGTGCCCCGATTGTGTGCCCATACAACTGAGTTTCCTGAATAAGCGTTCTGCTATATACTCGCTTAGCCAATTCAACTGCTCTTATCCAAACTGTTATATCACTTGTGAGTCCATTGCCTTCTCGAGACCCATTTTGAGTTAGCTGACAAAATCCTTGCGACTGAATGATAGAAAATAGTAAACAGATGGTAGATGTGACCCCAGAAATGACAAAGAGAACCCAGAAATTTTCAAGCTTCAGACTTTGTGTATCATTGGAGGTTGAGTTGTTGGTGCACTCGTTTGAGTGATACAACCATTTTGCTTCCAAGTTGGTTAGTTCTCCCTTCTCTGAAAGCTGCAATATTGCTTTTGAAACATCTTTGGCCACTGGGGATCCTTTTTGGAACATCTGCATAATGTGATTGATAAAGAAAATCCAAGTTAAATACTTAACTGTGTAAAGGTAGATGAACAATGTTTATTATTACATGACAGAAAACATATCACTTCCAAGTCTTATTCCTAATTTTGAGACAAAGGAAGTTATTGAAGATATGGAGTATTATTATTACTTACAAAGCCTAGTCCTCCAAATCTGGTTGTTGGTGTGGAGCCAGAATATATCTTGCAGTATGTACTTATGTACACTTTCTCATAAGGGAGTTCAAGAAAAGCTGCGGCTATTGAATTGTTTTTGAATTCACCATCATAATAGTACTCACTACTTATGTTGATGATGTTTTTTGGGCTGAACCTTTCAACTTTCTCTAGGTATGTTCTAACAAACGAGTCACCATCACAGCCAATTTTCATGTTGTTCATCTTCAGCCACTCGATGCTTGTAACATTTGGCTGCAGTTGTTGAACTGTTAGCATTGAAGAAAGGCTAGCTGTGTAGCTTGAGGTCAGAACCATAACTAGAAGAAGCCATGCTCCCATCACCACACGAGATAAGTTGCCGTGCATTTGCTCCCCTGTGAGATTAATCAAAGCAGTTCAATTGACATTTTTTAGCCTAAGAAGTGCTGTTATGGGCACATAATACTGACTATGAGACATGACAAAATTGGCAATGAATCCTTATGCAGTATAGCCCTGGGCCTTGTAACAAAGAATTAAAGATTTTTTTTTTGGGGGGGGGTTTGACTTATAGTCTTGCAAGGGATCCAAATCTTTCAAGATTTTTAATCTCCAAGTGCAATCTAACGTGTTAGATGGTTTCTCATATGAGTACACTTTAACATGCACTTAAGCTTATTCATGGCAGCAAATAATGCTATTCATTGAAGTTTAGCAAAAATGCTTACTATGAGCAAAGAATAAGGAGGAGAAGGTAAACCAAAGAGCAGTGCCAAATTGTCTCTTCCAATTGCCTTGAAACTCTGGATTAGGTTCTTGTTCAAGGTACCAAACTACTGACATTGTGTAAATCAAGATTGCACCAGTAACTGCCCACATTTGCCAGGTGAATGGCTTCAGAAACATCCATGTTGAGTCTTCAGACTTCACTGGAACTATCATGGACAATCCTGATTCTGCATATGGCACCGTAAAATCCACATATTGCAGTCTCTCTGCTAGTAGGGTCATGTCACCAACCACTGCATCATAAGTCTTCCACCACCATTATAAGACAAAAAGGAAGTAATTTAGTTCGGTGAGGTAGAACCAAAATGGTACATAAAATTCAGAAGTTAACAAGACATAATGCCCTGTATGAAAAATTGAAGGTTTTCTCTGCCAAGCATGCACATGCACACGCACCCATGTGCATGCTTCGACGTAAAGACAAAAATGATTGTAAAGAAAAATATTCAGTGGTGGCTAGATTGAGAGAATCATGCTTTAGAAAACAAAGTTAAGATGTTTGTTATCTTCTAGAAATGGAAACAATAATGAAGTCTAAGGCACAGTTGAACTTGGTCACGACCATCACGTTCCCTTCAACAAAAATACTAGATTCCCTGAAAAAAATTTAATTCTGTCAAGTCTTGAATTGAATTCAGTGTTTTCTTATAGCATGTGCCATGGGGAAAGGAGTGATTGCTAGTTAAGGAAGGAAAACAACGTACATTTGGCTGCTTAAAATTCATGAAGAATGATGTCATTGTTTTTAACAGCACTCTGATAAATGATGTGTAATATAACTTCTACTTTTCTATTTCTGAAAAAGATAGAAAAGGTTGAATGAAGAAGAATTGCTACCTTGTTGTACACAAGTTGAACGAGATCAGGATAGGTTACATTGAGGGGATAAAACTCAGGGTAGATCATATTCCAAAAGATCTAGCACCTTGTTGAAAATCTCAATACAGAATCCACTGTATTGATTCTGATCTGGACTTTTTCCATATTCAACCTTGACAAACTTTGAAAATGAAGTTCTTCCTGGAACTGCAATTTTCAATGGGTTTCGCTTAATAGGCATATTCCAACCTTTTGGAGTTCTCTGCAAATTCCCTGGCCATTGTACTACACCGGCCAAACTTTGTGTATTAGCAGTAGCATTTTCTTCACTTTTTCCTGTAGGCAGGCTTGCGGTGAACCCATTTTCTTGAGTCCAAAAGTCTATTTCTTTATAACTCTTCCCAACTACATTTACCATCCTTAGGATAGGATTCTGCAAGAGCTGACCTGCTTCAAAATGAATTTCCCCACTTAGACCTAGAAAACTGCTAGACAATATTTCTCTTAGCAAAGCCTCTGTGCTGCTACTATTGTTCCTTTCCATTCTTTCTACTGCTTGAATGACAACTTTGATGCTATCATATGCTTGCAAAGCATAAAATCCTGGGTTACTATTATCTTCCTCTGGATTTTTTGCACGAAATTTTTTCCTGAACTGAGCTCGAAAATCTTGATACTCACCGCTATTTTCTGAGTAGTGTGTCTTGATTCCTAAAGACCCTCCCATATAGGAGGAAATAACGGACTTATCCAGAGAGTCAAGCAAATTAGTTATGCTCTCTGAGATTATCCAAGCTGAATCTCTATCCACAAGTCCCATCTTTGAACTTTCTCTGAAAAAATGAGTCACCATTTCTAAGGATGAGTGCAAAACAATGAAAACACGAGACTGACTTTGCTTTACCAACTTAATCAGCTCCTCATTGATTAGCCCTCCTGGATCTGGTAAAATAGATATTGGTGGAAGAGCTAAACGGTACTCTATTAGCGAACCAAAGTCTCGGAGGGCCTCAGAAAGGAGTGATAACATCCCGTCGTCTCCACCACCATAGCCGTCATCTTCATATACGACTACTACTCTTTGCCAACTGAAAGCATTCACTATGCCTGCAATGCATTTTACTTGTGCAGTCACATTGTTCGCTAGCCTTACCAGATAAGGCCATCGTTTCGGTGTCAATGGCGGGGTAATTGCAGGTGATGCAAAGGATATGATTGGAACTTGAGCTTGACTTCCAATTTCAGCCACTAGAGCAGCTTCCTGCCACGTATGCATCCCTATAATTACTTCTACTTGCTTCATTTCAATTAACTCTTCAGCTGCAACCAGGTTTAGCACAGTTAAGGGGGAACCGTATAAACTAAACCAAAAGCTGCAAGATGTTCAAATCCGTTCAGAAATCCCCTAATTTGGTATCTAACACATCAATTTGATCTCCCACCAAATCATCTTAAAAAAAAAATAATTCATTCAATTGTTGCATTGTAGCAATGTTTCCCTGATATGTTATCATTGTTTGAAATTTGCTGGCTAATGTTTTCATACTCTGTTGATTTGGATTCCAAATTTGAGGTGTGAGTTTACAGTGATGGGAAAACAAATAACAGATGTCAGAAGTTTACAGTGATCGGTAGAAATTCCAAGCAATTTAATGAGTGAGGAACCAAATTATTAGAAACGATACTTGAAAGACCAAGTTAAAAGTTTGAGTAGTTGTTGGTTTTTTCTGAAATAGTTTTCTTTGCAAATGCTAGAGATTGCTTACCGAGAGATGTGACTCTGAAGGCTTCCTTAGTGGCGTTCTGGAAATAGAGAGCCAGCTTGTGAGTCTTCGATGTCTTATTGTAGTTTTGAGCTTCAATTTCCATGGCTAGTTGCTGTTCTTTACCAATACGAGAATTAACATCAATAATTGCACCAATACGTATAACTTTAGTGTCTCCTTTTGCAGACTCATCATCTCCATAGCCTTGTAAGAGAACACAAGAGATGAGCAGAAGAAAGGATAGCCAAAATCTTGGAAGTGCTTTAGGAATAGTAAAAAAGATATTCATTTTAGATTCTGAATCTTTGTCTAATAATCTGAAAACAAAAACTTGGAAAGTTGGTTTATGGACAAGCTAGCTTTATATCATGGCATATATAAATACAGTTAGCACTCACAGAAAGAAATCCAGGGATTCTAGGGCAGGCATTGAACTTGGAATTTTGACTGTGTCAATTATCAAGTTGCTGACTTTGCAGTTGATGACAAAGGAGCTAGCTAGCAAACAAATTATTTGCAGACATTTTTGGATACTAAGAATTCTGAGTTGAATAAGAAAAAGAAATTGTGAATGGGAAGCAGTGAAGCTGTTTTTCTTGAAATTGAGAAGAGAAAATTTGGTTTTGCGTATGAAATTTCAACAAAATGGCGCCTCAGCATTACACGAAACTTGTGGAATAAGTTGGTATGGATAGTGCAGCCTATGATAAATTTTATATTGAATATTGATGATTACTGAGTCTTACCTGTGGGTATTTTATGGTGTACACAAGATTTGCTGAGTTGTTATAGAATGAATTCACAAGTATTTTTAAAGATTTTCTGAGACTTTTACTGGTAAGTTGAGTGAGGATGACGCAGGCTTGTTTGTTTCTGTGGTCTATTTGTAATTGAAGCAAATTGATGAAAGAAAGAATTATGTGGTGAAGGAAAGATGCAGATCAGGCATGGGACCAGTGTTTTAAATTGAATTGGATCTAAGATTGCATTCATTATTAAATTAAATTTGTAAAATTCCTTTGGCAAAAATAAATAAATAAATAAATTTGTAAAAAATATTGTTTTATGATATATTGTCTAATTGTGGTTGAATTAGTGATAATTAAACGTGTATTTTTAATATTTTGTATTGAAATCGGTCAAAAAAATATATTGCGTTGAAAGAAAGGGGTAAAAAATGCAGAGATCCGCAATATTCATAAACTATAAATGCATGGAACTTTCTCCTGTTGGAGAGAGAACATTAAAAATATATAGATTAATTTTCTATCTTATATTTTTCTTTTTCTCATTTTGCCAACACTTTTTGATCATTTCAGGAAAGTTAATTTCGTGAATGGATGGATTAATCAAATGTTTTTTTATTGAAATTTGTGGGGCAAATTAAAAAAAGTAAGATTTATAAGTTCATGAAGCTTTTTATTTATTTGGCTAATTTTTTTAAGATGAGTTCTTCTTTTAAACTTGTATTTGTAAAAATGCAATTTTTTAAAATAAAATAGAAAGTTGTTTTATTAGTATGAAACTGTGAACGACCATTTAAAAAGAAAAAAGGAAAGTACCTCGAAATTTAACACAGGCAAATTCAACATACGTTAGCCTTAATTATTGGGAAATTATTGTTTAATCTAGGAAAAAACCACTTTTGTATGTGGCTGTAAAACAAAGATTGTGCCTGTAGATAGAAAGCATTTGTTTAGAATTATTTTTATGTTATTATTTTAAAAATTAACCTTTTATATAATGTGTTCTAAGAACAAAATAAAAAATAAAAAAGTATTTTTTTTATATTTTCTTTATTTTTTAAAAAAATAATTTCAAAATACTTAAAAGATATTTTTATTTTTCTGTTGTCCAAAATAATATTTAAATTTTTTATTTTTCAAATTATTTTTTAAAAACAAATTATTAAACAGATTTTTTTTAAGAACAGAAAACTAGTTGCTAAACAAGCCCTTGCTTGTTATATTTTTTTTTTTACTGACATGTTTATTTTATTTTCTTTGGCCAAATTATTCTATGTATATATCTTTGTCACACAGAATTCAGTCTTGAACTATGACTTTCATAAGTTATCTTAATTCATTTAATATAAAAATAGAATTCAATAAAAAAATGGGATTTATAGCCCGTCCGAATTGGTTAAGATTAATTTCATTTCTTGTATTGTTTTTTTGTAATGCTCAAAATTTAAATTAAATTACCGTCTCATTTTTGTTGTCGTAGTGACTTTTTTGTTTGAGTTGAAAATGAAATATTAGAAGTATTACTCACAATGATTAAGTAGTGAAGAATCTCGAAGAAAAGGTCCGCGTGGAATCTTGTGTCTCCTGTACGCGTTTCGCTTGTCTCTTCCAGACTTTTTTGAGAAAATTACACCTACATCTCACAAAAAAGATTTTATTGCCAATAGGTCTATAAATTTTAAAAATATTTTTAAATTTCAAATCTTGAGTGTTTTCAAGCTGACAAAAAACATTTATAATTGAGCAATGCACATTACAACTTTTTACTATAAGATTTTATTTTTTTTAAATTGTAAATGCTTGTTGTTCAATTATAAATGTCTTTTATCAAGTTGTAAACACATAAGATTTGAAACATGAGAGTATTTTATAAATTTTATGAAACCATTTAATAATTAAACCTTTTTTATAAGATCTAGGTATAATTTTCCTTTTTTGCTTCATGCCACAACATTGTTTACGCGGTTTGCAAGTTCCAAAAAATTAGGATTCTGATTTTTTTAAATTAAAAATCAATGAATTTTATGAGGTTTTGTGAAAAATAAATAGAAGATTTTAATGGGTAAGATATAGAAAAATAAAATTTTAGAAAAAATATAAGAAACTCAATTTTAGAGGACTTTCTTAAGAATGATGTGTGATGAGTGGTGAGGAGGCAGTTTTGGAACTACTCTCTCCAGTCTTATTCATAAAATAAATAGAAAAAAAAAGTCTAGTACAAGAAAAGAATTTTTTGAGTCATATTTATAAGTCACATTATTAAATGTTGATCGCAAATTTTTTCTTTATTTTTTATTAAATATTTTAAAAAATAAATTATTAAAATATGTATATTTAAAAGGAATAAAATTTAAAATTTATTAAATTTTTATATAAATTTAATAAAATTTAATGTTTGTCTTGATATAAAAAAACATGTTAAAAGTAACGTGTAAATAAGATTAAACTGAAATGCTAAAAACTGAGTCTCATCCCCTCGCAGGCCCCCTCATGCACGCGCAGATGCAGAATCCCCAACGGCATGGGTGGGACCCATCTTATGGAATAGGTAAAATTGCAAATGATATCTCCAAAGATATGTTTTTGACCAGTTCAATTATACAAAATTCCATTTGCGGCCCATTACAAAATTCCATTTGCGGGTATAATTTTCTGTCAAGTATATTCTCAAAGATTCTGTTGGGCTCCACAAGATCTTCTTTTCTTTGACTTTGAATGGTAATTCCTGTTTGGTATGAGCAAACGTTTTCAAAGAAGTAGAAATAAAGGTGTCTTTTGTCAGGCCTAATTGAATAACAATGACTTAATCAAGTTTCTCTCACATCATGAAGTGAGATTCACTGTATAAAAGTGGGTCCCACCCCCACATTTAGAAATGTTGTAATTTAATATATGTAAATCTCAAAAGAAATCTTTCTTTCATCATTTTTTTCTCACCTACTTATGGGTGTTCATGAGATGGAACAAAATCAAGATATTTTTATCTTATGTTTCATTTTTTAAAAAATTAAGACTACATTTTTATCTTGTCCTGTTAAAAATTAGGACGAAATTTGGATATTTTGCTATCTCAATAAATTGGATAATTATAGAAAAAAACTGTTGAATAATAACGTTTATTAAAATTTAAATTACATAATTTATTAAGTTTAAAATCAAAACAACAAAATATTAAATCATAACAATTTAAAGTAAATTATGAATTACATTAATCACAACTACAATTGTATAACACATTATGATAACAATTATAAATTACATCTAAGCTATAATAGTAACAATAACAGGACAAGCCATGCATAACATCAAGTCATTATTCTTCTTTTTTAGTTGAGATATGCTAAGCAATTACTCTTTTAAAAATAAAGTAAGAAATACAATACAATACAAA